ATGTCCAAGCTTTTGAAACAGAAATGTTCGTAAACAGCTCAAAACAAATCATAATATTTTTAAAATTGTATGGTGTATAGCAAATGCTAATACATTCAGTGAAAATCTCTTGTATATTCATGTATTTTGGTAAATTATCTTAGAGTTACAGTAGTTACACCAAAAACCAAATGTGCAAAAATTCCCGTTCTTCCTTAACTTTTTTTGGTTTTTCCGGTGCTCAATTTAAACCTCAATGAAGCAACAACTAGGTAGATACACTTTCCCATGAAACAAGATACTGAAGTTGAAAATCGAAGCATTATTTCGACTACTTATCGTGTACACAGACACAAACAAAAAAATTAAAAACACACATCATTGTAAAATCAATACCTACATTCATCGCTTTGCTCAGAATCTAAAATTAGGATTACTATAGTCTGTTATATGTTAATAAATTGTCCCTGACGTACAATGATTGTTTTCCATGAATTAGTTAAATCGATATTTCGGTACGGTTATTTTGAATTTTAATACAGTGAAACTTCCGTTAAGTCACATACTTACATGGGAACAAAAAAACATCGTATTATATAGAAATTCGTTAAATAGAACAATTATACATAATATACATAATTTTAGATTCTGAGTGAAACAATGAATGTATTGATTTTACAATGATGTGTTTTTTTTTTTATTTTTTTTTTTTGTGTCTGTGTACACGATAAGTAGTCGAAATAATGCTTCGATTTTCGACTTCAGTATCTTGTTTGATTGGAAAGTGAATATCGTTGGTGCATTGGGGAGGTCAAAATTTAAATTTCCAAGTAGTTTTCAAAAGCGCCGGGAAAAACAAAAGAAATATTAAGGAAAAACGGGAATTTTTACGCAAAATCTGTTTTCGAGAAAATCGATTTTGGTTTTTGCTGTAACTTTAAAACAAATGACTGTAGGAACATGACATTTTGATTGGTTGTTTATTTTTGCCTTTTCTATACACGATAACATTTTCAAAATATTTTGATTTATTTTGAACTGTTTAGGGACATTTTCATTTTCCATTTTTTTTATTTTTTTTTCTAAAAATATCAATAAAACTTTGTTTATTGAGTAGAAATACTTGAAAATTTAATACAAGGTTCCTACTAAATTGTTACAAACGCAGATGAAAAATATTAAAAATCGTTATTCACAGTTTTTTTTTTATAAGCATTTAAAGTTCAAAAATTGACAAAATATGGAAAAATCACAAAAATTAGCAAATTATTTTGAGTTAAGAATTCGTAAAAATTTTTCTTTTTAAATCTAAGATTTTAAAATGTAATACAGATTACTCATAAGTTTGTCTACCTTTATCAAAAAAAAATCTACCGAAAAGTCAAATTAAATTTTTATGAGCGTTTGAAATTCAAATTTTTACAACATTGGATGTTCACTCGATTTCTCATGTAGCGATTTCCTTATTTTGGTGTTTTTCATAAACGAATAACTATAGATGATACATGAAAATTTCACTGAATGTTTATATTAGCATTTCCTATACACCATACAATTTTGAAAATATTTTGACTCTTTTTGAGCTGTTACGGATATTTTCATTTTTCAATTTTTTTAGTTTTTTTTTCTATGAATATCAATAAAGTTTTATCTGTTGGGCCAAAAAGTGTAAAAATTTAATACAAGGCTCCTGATATATTGTTACAATATCAGTTGAAAAATATTAAAAATACATAGGCACAATTTGTTTTTATAAGCTTTTAAACATCGAATTTTGACAGAATTTTTCAAAATCTCGAAAATTATTAATTATCGTAATTAATAAATTATAAAATGTTCAGTTTTTATAGCTAAGGATTGAAAATTTAAAACAAGATTCCACGTAAGTAGTTAATTCTCTTACCGAAAAATTTAAAAAATATACAATCACAGTTTATTTTTATAGTCATTTTATGTTCAAATTTGGACGAAATTACATATTAAAAAACCTAGTTATTTTGTTGTGATTATATAATATTATTCGTTAGTACCTACTTGAAACTTCTAAAGTGTACTATTATATATCTATGATAGTATCAGGGTTTGTTATTGATGTTGATGTATAACCTGTTATAATGTGATATGATTAATTTGGAATTTATTATAGGTCAATTTTTTTTTTAATACCATAGATATGTATATAATTTGTCCTAAACCTAGACTGACATACCGTCTTCGCTCAGAATCGTTTTTCTTATACAATGATATTGTATCATTGAATTCAAATTTAATAGCATCCATTATACAGTGACCCACTTGTAACCTACTGTACAGCAGAGCGACATCCACTTACCAGGGGCGGATCCAGGGGGGTGGCGCAGGGGGCGCGCGCCACCCCCTCGGCTTTTATTTAGTTGAAAAATTACATTTTAATTACAATTTAAAAATTGTAAAATGTTTTTATGAAATTATTGTGTGTAGCGTAATGACGTACTTTTTAATAAATAATAATAAGACGTATTTTTATATTCCGCAACGCCGGACGGCGGTTCGAGGTTATTTCTAGTTTCTAGTGTTTCTACATGTGTAGTGTTTAGTGTTTACGTATTATTAATATTATCTTGATAAGTATTTGAATTATATCTAAAAATAAATATTCCATTCATATTATTTTCGGGCCACGACGCGCGACGTACGGCACAGTCCCCGTTATCGTAATAATTGAAATAGATATCTATACACATAATATTTCACTATTCATCAGATTAGACTGATTACAATTTAAATTATACAACAACAATATCTGATTTTCTTCGTATTGTGTACAAGTGTACAAAAAATAGTTTCAGTATTGAACTAGCTGTGTTATGTCGTGGTTACCTATATTTATGTTAAATTGTTTCTAAATGGTTATAATAACGGTATAATAATATATTATATAATATTAATGGTATATTTCTAAACCTATAATGGACAAATTTGTAATAAAAAAAAAATTAAGTTGCATGAAACCCATGAAAGTGTCACATCAACAGAAGAAGTGGATACTTTAACTCCAAGTTTGTCGTTCAATAGTTTATTGACTTCTGCTTCGACGAGCTCAATAGAATCGCAACGTATTATTGATGATAATAATGATACTACTACTTCATCGGAAAGTTATGATATTGGTAACTATATAGACCACATATATTCTATTAATGATTTTACTAAATTTATGATTCTTAAAAATCACTGGGTCCCTCCAAAAAATTATATATTTCCTTTTTCTGTACATAACAAACGCAATAGAGAAGAAAAGCGACGTCCTAATCATCAGCATTTATCTAATTATTCTTGGTTAGTTTATTCCGATGTGAAAAAAGGACTTTTTTGCAAAAATTGCGCCATTTTTACTAATGATATTCTAGTAGGTGGTCAAAAAACAATATCTGTTAAAAAATTGGTGACAGAACCCCTTATAAAATTTGCTAATTTATTAGGAAAACATGGAGACTTAGACTGCCATTCTCAAACTCAGTATCATAAGTTGGCAATAGTTAAAAGTGAATCATTTATTCAAGTATATAAAAATCCATCTTATGATATTCGGAATCAGGTTGAAACTTCACGTAAACAACAGGCTATTGAAAATAGAGAAAGACTTGTTCCAATAATAAAAACTTTAATTTTACATGGACAACAGAATATACCTATAAGAGGCCATCGTGATGATGGTTCATTACTTAATACAAATAATAGTCCTGTTGCAACTGAAGGAAATTTTCGTTCATTATTAAGATTCCGAATAGATAGTGGGGACAAAGTTTTGGAAAATCATTTAATGACAGCTAAAAATAATGCTACTTATATTAGTAAAACATCAACAAATGAGTTAATAAATCATTGTGGTAATGAAGTTCTTTCTATTTTATTAAATAGAATACAAAAGGCAAAATATTACTGTGTTTTATTTGATGAAACAACTGATGTATCTCACATATCTCAGCTTAGTATATCAATTAGATATATTTATGAAAATACAGTCAGAGAAGATTTTATTGGTTTTGTTGATCTTCATAAGGACAATTATAGTGCAGATGCTCTTGGTTTTGATATAGATAATGAAAGTAACACATTAGATTTACAACAGTCAGAACCAACTATTACAGGAGAAATACTTGGTTCAACAGTTGTAAAAAAGTTGAAAAGTGTGGGACTAGACTTAAAATCATGTGTAGGAATCGGTTGTGATGGTTGCAGTGTTAATATGTCGACAATATGTGGAGCAGCAATTACTATACAAAAATCTGCCAAGAATGCTTTAATATGTCCGTGTTTAAATCATTCGTTGAATAATAATTTATCTAGATCAAATAAGATTCAAAGTGTAAGAAACGCTATTGGAACTATACAAGAAATAATAAAGTTTTTCAATGTTTCAGCTAAAAGAAATTTTATTTTAAAAAAAACATTTAGGGTATCAGCTGACTAGTCACTGCATAACTCGCTGGATTGAGAGGCATGATTCTGTATTACAATTTATAAATGACCTTCCAATTATATTGAAAAGTTTAACTGAAATTTCTACATGGCATGATATATCAACTTCATCAAAAGCCAATTCATTGTGTAAAACTATACAAGACAGTGAATTTGTTATGTGTATTTTCTCTTTAAATGACATAATGTGTCTAACACGACCTTTAAGTATATTACTCCAAACTAAAAATTTAGACCTTTTTTCTGCTACTACTAAAATAAAAGAACTTAGAGAAGTACTAAGTACAAAACGAAACGATGCAAATCAGTGCTTTAATATTATATATAATAATGTTGTTGAAATGATGTCAAAATTAGGCACTGAACTAAAACTTCCAAGGACTACTAAAAGGCAGACTTACAGAAATAATATTGAAGTCAACCCAGAAGACAGTCAAGGTTACTGGAGAATATCAATTTATATTCCTATTTTAGATGAAGTAATAAAAGATTTTGATAATAGGTTTTCTAGTGATAATATGCAATGCTTTAATCTTAATTTTTTGATGCCATCGAATCTCATGAAATGTTTCAAAAACACTGAACAGTTAAATCAATCAATTAAAGACATTTCTAATCAATATAGTGAGTTATTTGGTGAATCTATATTTTCTATTGAACAAAAACTAAGAGGAGAATTAAATCTATTGGAAAATAAATTAAAATCAGATACTGACCTAACAACTATAACATCAGCTATAACATTTCTAGACAAGCTTGATTTTGACTATTTTCCAGTATTTTCTTTATTTATTAAAATTCTAATCACTCTGCCAATATCTATTGCTACAGCAGAAAGAAGCTTTTCTTCTCTACGTTTACTAAAAACATGGCTAAGAACTAGAATGAGCGAAGAAAGGTTAACTGGTCTAGCTTTGTTATACATTCACAAAAATATTGATATTCATAATAATATTGAGAATATCATTAATAGATTTGCTAATGATAAAAATAGAAAATTGGACTTTATTTTGTAATTTTATTAACTGTACAATGATTATTTTATAATTAAGCACCTATATATGAAGTTATAATAACAGTAACAACTATTTTATTTTCTGTTTTGTTTTATTGATTATTTAATATAAAATAAAGTTTTATACCTACTTGAATTAAACTGTGATTAATTTTATTTGAACGTAAGTTAGTTCAAAATGATAAATTGGTAATACATTTATATATAATAGTAAGTATGTAGTACCTATTTAAAGTATAGTAATACTTAAACTAATTATTGCTTAAGTAAAGTATTTATTTTATCATAAATAGTAATTATGATTCATTATTTTTATATATCTACTTCTTATCTATACCTATCTTTATTACATTTTTAGATATAAATAAAATCATAAACATATTTGGGAAAATACTTTTAATTTTACATAAATATAATTTTAACTTACATAGAAAGTTTGACGAAAAATCGGAAGACCAATGTAATTGGTATACATAAATGTCTAGAAAATGTGCGCCCCCCCCCCACAGAAAATTCCTGGATCCGCCCCTGCCACTTACCCACCTTTTTTAGTTTAATTTACATAGGTAAATTATAGGGACATTTTAATCAAACTCATTTTATTTAGGTATATTTTATCTTAATAAAATCTTAATTTTAATCGAAATAATCAGTTATTTTTGTAAATGGTAGTTTTTGAATAAAAAGTTTTTATTTTTTTCCATTAAAAAGTAGGTATAGGTATATTTTTAATATCTTGAATAGTGAATACATCGCGTTTTCAATAATTTAGATTTTTCCGGTACCTATTATAAGGCCAGGAAGATAAACTTTTAAATATTAATGACAATGATTTATTGTAATATTGTATAGGACCTATACTATAGGTAATGTAACATTACATATTTTACTTAGTACACATAATAAGAAACGAGCTTTTTTTGTTTATTTTTAATTTCTTATAGTTACTTACATAGCAATACCCAATAATATCTATTATAACTCATTAACTCTAATGACTCAATAATTTAAAAAATATAGCAGTATTTAGATTAACACGTAAGAATGTAATTTAATAATATTATAAAAAATGTACTTACAAAATGTAATAAAAATAAGCCCCAAACTGGTTTTCACAATTAATCTAGCCAGTGGATGTACGATTATGGTTAGTACCTACATATTTTTCTTCCTGTGTACTTAATACTAAACCCATGTTAATTTATTAAAATATTATGGTACATTGGTACAATGGTACGTATAATAAATGTATTATAAATAATATTATGTATATTCATAATGGTACCTTTTTAGGGACCTATAGCTATAAGACATAGGTCATAGCTGTGGCCAAATATATTATTTTTTTTATTTATTATCAACATTCAACAATAAGGGCTGAGCCCAATTATACAGAATATGATAATTATAGTTATAATTTAAACTATGAATAACAACAATAAGTATGACAATAACTAATTAAACTTATATAAAAACGTGAATATAAAAATGTACGACAAATATTAAGAAAAGGATCACTATTTTCCATACGCATCATTCTAAGGATTGGCTGGTTCTCAGAATATATGGTGATGCATTTTGGAATAAAAATTTGATAAATTTGACGGACAGAAGAGTAAGGGACTCTAAAATTAATCATAGAAAATAAAACAGGAGAATCAATAGAACCATCTATTAGTAGGTGGAGAAATTTCAGGTTAGCAGACCAACCAGGACGGAAACCGTGCTGTTCATCGATTAGGATTGAATTGACGGCAGGTCTGAATATAATGACTTAAAATTTAAATGTTATTATTTATATCAATATTTACATAATATTTTTATACAAAATTTAGTTTCTTATCCTGTTTAAAGTTTTTTTTACAATAATTAGATTACCTAACATTTTTAATTTTAAGATCTAACATTTCATAGTAGGTAGTAGGTACCTAATATACTGCCTTAGTAGGCCAAATGGAATGGTTATTTTTTATTAGACACAAATACACAATTAAAGTTAGTATGGTTACCTACCCAATTTCTACTACCCACTACATTTTGTAAAGTTTCTACCGAAATGAATCATAATTTTTGTTCTGTAAAAAAAGCTGGAAGCCGGAAGGTATTCCATTCCTCTTGGATTATTTTCAATTTTGTTTTTTTTAAATATATTTTTAAAGTATTGTTTTTCCTATTTAGTAAATATATTTTATAATATAGGTTCTGGCATTAAACACGTTAAAAGATCTTAAAAAAAAATAGTCGTGGTTTTAAGGTACCAGTGGCTACTTTTTTCAGATTTTCCGGATTGATCTGAAGTTCACACTTGTATTTGAATTTGATTACTGATGATAGTGAAGGAAGGGTGATCTATCAACTAAAATATACATTTTAATTTTTACTTCTCATTGTATAGCTTCTTATCTAAATTGAATATGAATATTATTATTATTCGTAATGTAAACCAATATTCTTATTTAATTTTGTAAATTCATTGAAATCTAACCGAAGCTTTAGCTTGCAGGGGTTTAGTAACCTTTATTAAGTAAAAAAAAGTTTTTCATGTATATTTGATTGGTTAAAAAATAAACTATTATTATTATCAACTTGTTTTAAGTTGTAAATAGTAATATACTAATATGTTTACAATCATTTTCGAATGTACACTTTAGAAAAAGTTAGTTATACAATTAATTAGTTTAAGAATTGTCCATAAAATGATTATTTTAATTGATTAGACAAATTTACCAATTGGGTGTCAACAACCTCTTCCCTCCTGGACCAGTCAAATCAAAAACATATACATAGATAAGATAAGAGGTAATGCTTACAATATTTTAACTTTTAGGCGATGCTATTAATATTTTTATACTAATTTTCTTCAATGATTTTCTTTTAATAAAATCATTAGTATTCATGGTTATTAATTATTTTAATAATAATTAATGGTATTCCACACTAACTGAAAATATGTGGCAATTCAAAAACTAAATCAATAAGATTATTATTTGAATAGGGTACCCACTTTTAATCTCATTAAAATATGTACTCTAAATACCTTTCATAAATAAAAAGTAACAGGGATATTAGTATTTTTTAAATTAACTATAAATTGTTAATATAACTATTTATAGTTGTAATAGTTTAAAGAGAACCAAGACATACAATCAACTTTTTATATTAATATACTATAGAGTATAGACAATAATTATGACCAAATGCGTAAATAATCAATAAAATATGTGTTGCATAGTGGACATCGTTTTGGATCGAGCAGAATTACACAATCATCACATATAGACTTATGTCCACATGGCACTAGTGCGATGGTTTTTTCTCTTACGGCACACACAACACACATTTCAACGTTTTCATTTTCATTCAATGGAATTAAAGAAGAAAGTTGTACAAATGGCAAATTTTCAAGTTCAGATAAACGTCTCCGATTTTCAATCTCCATCATAAATACAATATCTAGATCCATTTCTTCTGGTATTATGAAGTCAGCTTCATTCCCTGAAAAATGTGTTAAACATATTTATTTAAAATATAATAATTTAAATTAGAATATTATCTTACAATTAGCTTGTTCTTCATGATGTGTTTCATTTTCTTCTGACACTAAGGGTTCCGTATTGGGTGGATCATCTAATTATGAATCGATAAAATAATTTTAACAATTTGTATCTATAAAATAATAATACTAATATTATATTCTTACCATAAGCAGTCGGCAGGGAATCATCAATTACAACTAGTTGCCTTCTCGGTCTTACAATAAATGAATCCAAGCTGTCGTTGGAATCTGGATGTTCATTTTCTTCAGATACTCCTTGTTCTGCATGCTGTGTTCCATTTTCTTCTGAAACTGAGGGTTCTGTATCGGGTAGATCATATAATTATGAATTGATGAAATAATTTAAACATTTTTATCTATAAATAAGAATATCAATTTTATATTCTTACCATAAGCAGTTGGCAGGAAATCATCTGAATCATCAATTACAAATAGTTGCCGTCTTCTCGATCTTGGAATAAATAAATCCAAGCTCTCGTCTGAATTTTCTCCGGATACTAAATGTTCTGTAACTAAAATAATTTTTGAAAATAATTTTAATTTGTAATTATTAAAAATAATAATTAATTCTTACCATGCTCTGATTCGTCCATTACATGTAGTTGTAAATTTACACTTTCATTTTGTTGATGAGGCGTTTCATTGTCCCTGGTATCGTTTGCCTGGTTATCGGCTTGCTGTATATTCAAGGCAAAATATCTTTGGTTTTCTTCATAAGAAGCCACTGTATAAGAACACTGGTTCAAAAATTCTTTGGTATTTATAAGACCTAAATTAAGTTGTCTAGTGGCATATTGAATCCGATCACTATTGGCAATATAACGACTTCTTGTATTCCTTGTCGGAGTTAAACCATTTTGTAGTTGATTTATGACGATATTGTAGTTTTTAATCAAATCACAAAGTTTATCTGTAAATAAAAATATTCATAAAATATGTCCAAGACAAATATTATGTAATAAGTTTCCTTGTTCATTTATTTATTTTAAAATCACAGAATTTTTAAATATATTTTATTTATTTGAAAAGTAAAAACCATTTCTTCTTTATTTAAAATTTTAATTCAAAAGAAAATATATGAGTAGGTACATTATTTGTACCAATATTTTATTAGTATGGCAAATATGATCAGATCATTATTGAAATTATAGTTTCATATTCTAATCAGTAAGAAAGCATTTAAAAGAGTTTATATTATAAGAATAATGAATATCATTCAACATTAAACAGTTGTGTTTAGTATGATCACATAGAAAGTGTTTTATTTTGTTTTGGATATTATATGGGTAAATACAAGTCAACAGTAAAAAATGATACCATCATTTAATTTAGGAGCAACATATTAAGTTAGAATTTAAAAAGACCAGATATTTTATCATTAAAAACAAAAATGAATGAATTTACCAAATCTATTTAACAATATGCCGAAAAAAATTGAGGATATAGTACTATAACACTTACTCAAAAACACCCAGATATTTGGATGAGCAACCCCAAATGAATACCGAAGTTTGTTGTGGAAAGATTCATTATGGTTGTTTGTTCTCCTAGCCTGACCATACACTGATATTATTTCCACTCCAACCCTGTGTATCCAAAATCTAAAGAAAATATTCTCATATAGTATATTGTACATCTTTAATTTTACTAACTTAATTTCACTACAATAATTGTATACATACCTTTCGTAATAATCAAATAGAGTATTCATTTCTATTAAACACCTTCTTGCAAGTCTTTTGATGATTCTAAATCCCTGAACAATTTTTTGTGCCGGAAGTAAGGGTAATACTAAGAGTTGTCTAAGAATATTACGGGCGTTTTCATTATTATGAACCAAATTAAGATAACCCAAAGTTTTCATTTTTTTCCAAACAGCCTGAAAATCAAGTCATATTAATACATTTTTTATTTGTATGGTGTGTATAATAAATTACTTGGTTGTGATGAAACCAACACCCTATAGGTTTTGCCGTAGGAAATTGTTCAACTAACGCAGTTCTTAAACTACTTTCATAATCAGTCATTATTTTTCGTGGTCGAAAATTAGGTAGTATATCAGATTTAATGAAGGAAATGACAGATTGATAACTAGACTTATTCTTAGACTCCATCAATACATAAACAAGAGGAATACTCTATAAAAATTAGAATATTATATTAATTATTATTATATGTTTATAATCTACTTTTATAAATGAACATGTTATGTTTATATTGTATATATAAGTAATGTATAACAACATACATGGTTATTTACAATCCCATGAAGAACCAAAAGTTGGTAGGATTTTGGTTTTGATGGAGTAATCCGGAATGTGCAATCAGCATGTAGCTCTCGTTTACAAATACTGAGTGCATTGTTAGTCATGATTTGACTAGCAAATATGATAGAATGATTTCCATGGGTATCTTCTACACAACCTAAAATAATAATTATTATTATTAGAGCCATATTTCTGCTCCTCTTTCTTCCTCGCAGGATTGTTTTTGATACCACATTTAGGACGAGGTACATTTTGTAAAATATATTCATAAAATACCTTTATAAATAATTTCATCATTGACCTGGTAACGATTCAAATTTCCCTGTTCAAACAAATCTCCTAATTGCCTAAGTGTATCGGGAATAAGTGGCAGAGAAGATTTTCTTGCTCTTCTCATTAGACTTTCTGCAGAACGCTGTGCATACATAGCAGATGCTTCAGGAAAACTACAAACAATATTGAATTGGTATCTTATATTAATAAATGCCAAAATCATTATATAGTAGTGGCGCAGTGCTGGACGCGGTTAAAGCAATTTAAAAAAAAAACTGAATTTAATCATAAAAGTGACCAAAAGGTGTCCTACATAAATTTGTTTCATAACAACTTATTGTCATTAAACATTTGTCTTTGCATCTCTACATCAGTGGTCAAAGTGGCTCAAAATACGTGGAGGGATGCCTTTCATATTTTATAGTTTTCATATATGGTCATATGGCTTAAAAAGTCTTACATCATGTAGATTGTGGGGAAAGAAGGGGGTAAGTTAAACACCATATACATTTTTTTATATAGTTATATATTATTTTAGGTATATTTTTTATATTATATATTTTTGGTTTTTGGTTTAGTGTCTTATTTTTGCATTTAACTATAAATACTAACATTTATTTATTGTATTTATTTTATTTATTATATTTATTAACTTTTGTAAAATTAATGAAATAAGTTATAACTTTGAACTCTAAAATCCAAAAAATAATATTATGTAAGGCTATATATAATATATATTGACATCATGTTATAAAAAAACCTTAATAAATGCATACATGACTTTTGCAGTGTACTCTAAAAATTTTCCACGGTCTATCAATATGCGAAAATGCTTAAATAGCATTATACGCTATTCAAAATATTTATTTCGTTAATAAAAAACAAAAAAAATTAAAACTAACATGTATCTATTATTCTTTCTTAATCTTTCTACTTTTTTGAAGTTTGCCTTTAAACAAAACAAAACATTTTATTTATAAATGTATATTGTGTAATTGTGTTTATGATTTTTACCTAATAAATTAATAATAACAAATAGGTACTCGTTTCTTATAAAAAAGTAAAAATACTTATTTATAGTATTAATAAAAATCATTATTCATTGTATTACTGTAAAACTAATTAAAAAAAACATTGTTTTTAAAAGATCAAAATGTTATGTATAACAACATTGCATATAATTATAAGGGATACATTATTTTTGCCAAAAAAGGTGGAGGGATGTCATCCCCCCATTCTTCCCCCCCCCCACTTCAACCACTGCTGTACATATAATTTAATTGATTCTAACTTACTTATTTTTGTAGAAATTATAGCAGATAATGATTATAATAAACACAAATTTTAAAATCAAATATTTAAATCATATTACCTATTTAAATTAATAATGTCTATACCCCCCCCCCCCCCACCTATGACTAATTTGTTTCATATAAAATATAGAACTAGTTAATTTATTATCTAGTTTTTCTTATGATTTATTTTATTTTAAACCCCATCCAGGAAAGTATCAGAAAGTAAGTTTAGAAGTAGCTTAATTTGCAGATATTATTAACATAAATCATAAATTATATTATATTATACTTTCGAGCTTCTTCATCATAAATCATAGTTAAAGGTTTAACTTGCTGGGTTGATTGAAATACCAGTTTCTCTTTAAACTGTTTTAACTTCAGGGACTGCAGATCTTGATCATGATTATGTTCACGTATTGACATAATAGAACCATCGTGTATTTTTTTGATAGATGCAGAACAGAAATATTTTTTTGAATATTTACACTTGTAATACCTAAAGAAAAGTGAGAATCAAGAAAATTTTCTAAGCATTTCTTTTAAAAATGACTTAATATCTAACTAGTAACTGTGGTGGTGTTCCAAATGGTTGTTACTCAAGCCCGTAACTAAAAATGATTTCATAGGTGACTATTTAAATTATTTATAATCTTATTAGGTCTTATGAATTGCAAGAATATTTTTGTTGATTACATATTGCTCAAACCTCATAAGTCATCAGGTATAAGTGTATAACAATAATAAGTGATAATTAAACAATTATTAAATAATTAATTATTCGTCTATGTTTAGAGGTACCTACTAGGTAGTGGTTTACTATTGAGTAATAAAATGTAAGATTTGAGTGCAAATGTTTCAGATATATATGAGAAATTATCGGTAGGTAGGTAATAAAAAATAAAGTATGTAGAAATAAAGTGAGTGACTGGCCTAAAGCCAAAGAAATATAAAGCTTGGTCAAGCCCGCATAGCATCACTTGCCTGTTGTATATGAATGCAAAGTTTAAGGGGACGTTATGGTAACATTTGTTGTCTCTGTTTTACAAGTGCCTAACATAGAAAATAATAATTAATAAATAATTAATCACCTAACTTCCGTTAGTTTAAAAATTAGAGTGAATTGATCCCTTATAACATTTAAAGGTAAGATTATTATCTTGGCAATGACATAGGCTTTTCATTATATTTTAATTTTAAAGCTAGTTATGAGTCTTTTAAGATGTACAAACAATTTACAATTCTAAAATCCTCATAACTCGCTTCTGTCATTGCTTAGGGCCTAGATAATAATCTTACCTTTAAATGTTATAAAAGGTCATTTCACTCTAATTTTTAAACTAATGGAGCTAAACGTGATCTACTGAGCGTAAAATTTGGTATGTTACGCACTTGTAAGATGGAGACAATAAAATTTGTCACTGTAACGTCCCCTTAACAAACCAAAATAATTAAACAATATTAGGCAGGTCAGGGTCATCCTATGACTGGGGCAGCGGAACCCACGCCCCGGCACCACATCATGGAGTATGGACTGCATATTTGGGTCCCGCACTACAGAAATAATTAATTGTATTATATAATATTATTGTTATCAAGCTATTTGATAGAAAACGACCAAAACAATAGAATTATAATTAAAAATAGTGCTTATTAATTGAAATAATAAAATAATAAATTGGTAGGTAGGTACATAAAACTATAAGTTATGTTAAAAAAACAATTAGGTAGGTACCTACATTAAAAAATATTGTCCATTAAGTTTGTAGTAATTTATCGAATCATTTCCAATCAGTGCATGTAAGTGCATAGGTACCTTAAGACATAATAGTATATTTAAGAAATGGTGCATAATATTTAATATATTTTAGAAAAAATATAATATTTTGTTTATAATTACAAAATAATTGGTGTGCAACAGATACAAAATATGTACCTACATAAAATAATATTTGTTTATTTTATAGTAGGTAGTGTTTTATTCCCAGTTTTATTGTTAACTAATTAGTAAGTTTTGTTTGACTGTAATATTTTGAAATAAAGGGTGCTTTAACAGTTTAACCTAACAAATTAATTACTTAGTTTAAATTGTTATTTGTTAATTATTGATGCTACAAAGTCAACGAAATTTTAGGTAGGTATACATTCGTTGCTTTATATTATAACTTATAACTTGTAAGTCTACCTATATAATTAATATCTAATAATTAATAATATAATACAACATTACAACATTTTAACTCCGAACGATCGATACTCACGTTATTTTGTTTCGTTTATCGTATCCGCTCTTCACATATTCATATTCATCATGTTCCATTATCAATTAACAATTAATAAAATACAATAGGTAAATTACAAAACAATATAATTTTCATAGAAGAAAAATAACGCATACAACGGCAAACAAAATTAGAAGGAAAATGGTAATAACTAATAACACTGTTCAGAGTAGGTCCTAATGCAGTAATGCAGTCACCATACAATGATATACTAAGCAGTAAGCACTGACCGCTGATGAATGATAAACATTGTCTTATAATAATAATATATTAATATCCCATAGTGATTTTCAACACTGAAAATGTATATTTTTAGAAATTAAATTTTGAAAATTCCCATTGTCCTGGAATATCAATGACAATAATATTTGGAAGAAACATATCGTTCACTATTATTAGCCTTGATCAATTAACGCTATAGGGGACGAATCGTGAACGGTAAACGAGTCGACCCCGCGTAGTGTACCCAGCCTACGTGGCAGTAACGTTTTCCGAATACGGGTAAACAATAAACATCAATACATCATATTATTATTGGTTTACGGACTCGTTTCCTAGGTCCTGACTTCAGATCATAGGTAAATGCAAGGCTTAATTAATATACTATATTTAAGCCATGCGTAAACGTGAACCGAATCAGCTGACAGCTGATCGAGTTTCTATTCTATATTGAAGAGAGTAGGTACTAAACACCTGCAAGGGCCCGATGCCCCGATCCGGTCCTTAAAAAACCCTGGCCGTAGTGCCATTGGACCGGGCCGGGCCTTTGAAATAAAATAAAGGGTTGGACCGGGCTTTTTAAGTCTTGGAATTTTATTCCGGGCCGGGCCTGGGCTTTTTTTTTGTACAATTTTTCGGGCCGGGCCGGGCTGAACTTCAAATAATAAATCAAGGGTTGGACCGGGCTTTTTAAGGATTTTTCTTCGACAATAAATAATCACAATTTAAAATAATAAATAATAATGATACCCTAAGTCCCTAACCTAACCGACGTTGGTACAGAAAAGATAGATACTAGATAGTAGATAGTAGATACCTAGGAGATACAATCAATACAATCACAATGAATATAATAATATATTGATTATTGGTTATAATAAAGCTATTTTTATACCATAATAATATGTCAATACAAAATAAAACAACAACACACCACGAAAATATTTAGCTATTTGCGGCGTTATTACTAAGATAAGATATAAACGGTAATTTGGAATATTTATAGACAATTCATTGCGTTTGCCGTTTGACTAATGAATACAGACACAGTTGCCACAACACCAGTCTACGGTACCTACTAAAGCTTTTGTACCCATAGTAGTAGCTTCTACCTATTATAGTGTAAATTAAAAGTATTTTCTGTTATATGTACCTAGCTAGTTTTTATCAAGCTACAGGTAAATGTAATAGGTATTAGCATTGATTATAAATATAATCAATGGTATTAGGTAGTAGTTACATTAACCCCAGTTATCATAAGACATTGTCATGTAATGATTGTTGTAAAAAAACCACATTTTTAAACCAGTCCTACAAAAAAAAAAACCAGCCTTAAAAAAAATGTCGGGCCGGGCCGGGATTTTTTTTATAATATTTTGTGGACCGGGCCGGCCCGGGCCTGAGGATAAAATTGATGGACCGGACAGGACCGAAAATTTACAGCCCTTGCAGGTCTATAGTAGGTACAAAATAATAACTATTTTAAGTTTCAAATGAATTACCTAAAATCTAATGTTCTCATTTTAAAAGTGTGTTTGTGGTTATCAAAACTAAATCCTTGTGAAAAACAGTGATTCAAATTGTTGTAAAATATTATTATTACCTTTCTGGTCCTTTCATAGTATAACCTATAAACATTAAAAATATAAAGATAACTTTTCTTTCTCATTATTAATAATTAAGTAGCTGATCATAATAAATCATCAATTATATAATATGAGCTTATCTACTCACGAGGCTACACAGTTTTAAATTCATTTGTAAGAGTTAAACGTTTCTGGGAGGGGGGCCGGCTAAGAGATGTGGCTTCGTTTTCAATAGTGAGTGGTATGTGATTATTAGTTAATAATAATTAATAATAATATATATTATTTAATATAATATTAATTATTTAAACTATCCTCATAAATAAAAGAGTTTGTATAGGCAAATTCAATGCAATTTTTATATTAAAAAAAATAGATAAATTATAAAACTAAAACAAATGATAGTTTAATCTATGAAAAAGATTATTTTTATTATACAGTTGAATTCAAATAATAAACACATTAATTTAATTAAGTACATATAAAAATTCACTTTTGAAGGAGTTTTGTTTTGGCAATTTAACATTTCAATAAATACAACGTCATTTGCTGTTTGCAGATATAGAAATGTTGTAAATTGTAATCTTATATATTTGTTAAAGGTATGTGCTACCATAATTTTTAAATATTTTGGCTAAATAAAAACTACAATTTTGGTTTACGATTTTTCAAATTTAATAAAAATACTAAATCCTTCAATATTGGTGTTATACTCACGAAATCTGTATGGATCTTTTGAGACACGTCTCAGGAAACAGGTATCAAGATAGTATCTTAGCTAATAGAACTTATTAGTTTACTGTTTAGAATTTAGTGGTAAAAAGTTGTTCTAAATTGAAATTTTTGAAAAAAAAAATCGGCGTGAAATTTTGTTTTGCCAATAAAACAATGCTTTTTTGAAAAGAGAAATTTGATCTAGAAGTGTCACTGCATGGAACCTCGAAGATTTTAAGACTATACGACCAATATTAAGGTTTTCTCGATATGTTACAATTTTGAAAACCTAGAAAAAAACCAAATCCTTCAAAAAAAGTACTATCTTTAAGAAACCTTCAAGGAACGAAGCAGAAACGTCCCTAGATTATTTCCCAGTTGGTAAAAGTTTTTTAACTCAATTATTAAGGGGGTAAATGTTGTGTTCAAAATTTGAATTTTAAAAAAAAAATTGGCGGGAAATTTTTTTTATAAATTTCTCAATCTTAAATTCTGGATACGACTTTTTTAAGAACAGAAATTTAATCTAGCGGTGTCACTGAATTGAACCTCAAAGATTTCAAGACAATACAACCAATATTGAAGGAGCTAGTATTTCAAAATTTGCGTCCAGCCGTTCCAATTTTTTGTTGTTAGCTCAAATATATATATTATATTAGAGTGAATTGACCTATTATTTTATAGGTTTTCATATATTATTCTTATATACCTCTCGATTTTACATTAATACATATTAAATAATGAGCTACGCGTCTACTAAAATAAATGCGAAAAAAAGTTCAAAATAATTATTACCACGTATACCACAAGGAAACGTCTGGATATACGAATAATCAGGTAAGGCGTTTTTCAACTTTTAGCTACCCCGATTACGAACGAAATAATGGTCGTACGTACTTCGACCATAGACCCTTTTTGAATCTTCGTACACCAAAAGACCAGGGTCTCAAGTTTTGTAGTGATAAAATGGAAACACAAAATCCAAAATACACGTAATTACGTAATTTTCTAAGTACAAAAAACACACGAAAAGCCATAACTCCCGAACCAAAAGACGGATAACCTCGATCTCGGTATCCATCGGTATCCATCGATCCGACGCAAAGTCCTCTGTAACATCCGATTACAAAAACGACTAACCGTGCCCAAAATCTAAGTTTCCATGCTGAAAAATATTCTCCAGTTATAGATTGAGAACCGCAATATTACACAATTTGTTTATATGTATAAATGTATAATATTTATTATTAAACTATAAATTTCCCTTGCGTATTCTAAAACATAGTTTTACTTATTTATAGTCGCTGTAAAAAATATTTTCACCAACTAACACAAGCCAGAGAAGGCCAGAGGACCACCCCTTAAATACTGCAGCTCTGAATTATTGAAAACGCACATGTCATGTCAACAGCACCGCCGCGCCGACCAAATATGAAAAACGTGATTTTCTGCTCAAAACACGTTTCACACCTCGTAGAGTGGTCTGATTTAATTAGTTACTTTTATTGTTAGAAATAAGATGATTTTCTACAGAGCGCATCGGTCTTTCATAGTTAGTGAAAATTGGTCATATTCAAAATCGTATAGGTTTAGATATGGAATTTTAAAAATTCAAGTCCAATGCACCCGGGAAGAAGAGTTTATCATTAAAAAAAAAAAAAGGTGGGTAAGTGGATGTCGCTCTGCTGTACAGTAGGTTACAAGTGGGTCACTGTATAATGGATGCTATTAAATTTGAATTCAATGATACAATATCATTGTATAAGAAAAACGATTCTGAGCGAAGACGGTATGTCAGTCTAGGTTTAAGACATATTATATACATATCTATGGTATTAAAAAAAAATTGACCTATAATAAATTCCAAATTAATCATATCACAATATCCATAAATCCATTAGGTACTTATAACACGTTATACATCAATAACAAACCCTGATACTATCATAGATATATAATATAGTGTACCTTAGAAGTTTCAAGTACCCACGAATAGTATTATACACTCACAACAAAATAACTAAAATAGGTATGCTAGGTTTTTTAATATGTAATTTCGTCCCAAATTTGAACTTAAAATGTCTGTCAATGCTTAGCTATAAAAACTGAACATTTTATAATTTATTAATTACGATGATTGATAATTTTCAAGATCTTGATACATTTTGTCAAAATGCGATCTTTAAATGCTAATAAAAAAAATTGTGCCTATGTATTTTTAATATTTTTCAATTGCTATTGTAACAATATATCAAGAGCCTTGTATTAATTTTATACACTTTTTGGAACAACAGATAAAACTTTATTGATATTAATAGAAAAAACTAAAAAAACTAAAAAAATTGAAAACTGAAAATGTCCGTAAACGGCTCAAAAAGAGTCAAAATTGTATGGTGTATACTGTATAGGAAATGCTAATATAAACATTCAGTGAAATTTTCATGTATCTACAGTAATTTTTTTTTGAATTACAACAAAATAAGGAAATCGCCACATGAGAAATCGAGTGAATATCCATT